AGAGACTCAGAGATGTCCTTCTTACAGATATACCACAGAAAGCTCCATGGTCTAAAGTAACTAGCAACAACACCAAAAAGAACTCAACACAATGATAGTAATAAAACCTAACCACATTTTGTTTATCCATCCATTTTCTGATAGTCTTGAATGTTTTTTATGTCTTGGATATTGTGAGTAGTAAAGCATTAAACATTGTTGTAGAAGTCCGAGTCTCTGTTTCTGGGCATATAACTTGGAGTCAAATTGCTAAGTCTTGAAAATTCTTTCTTTTTAGATTTTTCAGAAACCACCACACTGTTTTGGCAAGCAGTTACATAATTTTGTATTTGTATCACTAATGGACGAGAGTTCCACAATACTCACCAACTTTTGTTATATCTGTTTTCATCTTAGTTTTCTTCAACCTCAGTCAAAGCCACTGCCTTGGAGTTTATTCTGACTTAAAATAACACTCTTGGGTTTCTGAGGCTGGAAATTCTAATAGAAGGAAATAAATCATCATTTTTCTGTGGAATCACTGGTAGATCAAATTGCCAGAAAGTGCAGCTTTTGTTTAGCAGAGTAATGCACTATGGACCACACCATGAGGTTCCTCATCATCCCTTTGAGAGTGAAATGAAATGTCATTTTAGTATTGACTTCCGTCTCTGATGGCTATGATGATAGAGAAACATTTTTAAATATCTGTGAGGTTTTCTTTTTTCTTTTTTTTATTATTTAAGAAAAAATTTACAGAGACTTTGGATTTCCATTCATTCATTGTTGTACTTTTCTCCCCTCCCAGCTCTCCACCTTAGTACATTACCCTCTTATAAAAGTAAAACAGAAATTATTTCATTGTTTTACAAACCCTCCCCAGGTCCACTCCACCATGTAGCCTTCGTTCTAGACACCTGTCATGACAAAAATACGTAATCACATATCCCTTTAAAACACTTTACTCCCTCATCTGTTTCAATACTGTATACATTATTGAACCCATCTTTCTCAGTCTCCCCGCAACCCCAATGTCAGTCCTGTTTGCAACAGTGGCACCATGCAGTATTTGTCCTTTTGTGAGTGAGATACTTCAGTCAGCATAATGTCCTCCAGGGTCACCCATTTTGAATAATATCGCATGAGTTCCTTGTTTTTCAATGCAGCGCAGTATTCCATTATGTGAATATACCACAGCTTCTCTATCCATTCGCTTGTTGATGGGCATTAGGTTTGTTTCCAACTCCTTGCTATTGTGAACAAAGCCACGATAAACATGGGTGTGCATATATCTGCTTGGTTGTGAGTTATCATCTCTTTGGGATATATTCCCAGTAGTGGAATTGTTGGGTCAAATGGTATCTCTATTTGCAACTTTTTGAGAAAGCGCCATACCGCCTTCCATAGTGGTTGCACCATTTTACACTCCCACCAACAGTGAATAAGTGTTCCAGTCTCTCCACAACCTCACCAGCATTTGTTGCTTGCTGTTCTGTTAAATTTTGCTATTCTGACTGGAGTGAGATGATACCTCATAGTTGTTTTGATTTGCATCTCACTTAGAGCTAGGGATTTTGAACATTTTTTCATGTGCCTATTGGCCATCTGAATGTCTTCTTTGGTGAAGTGTCTGTTCATATCCTGTGCCCATTTCTCTATTGGATTATTTACATTTATCTTGTTTTGGTGTTCATAAATTCTGGATATAAGTCCATTATCTGATATGTCATTACCAAGTACTTTTTCCCAGTCTGTGGCTTCCCTTTTTACCCAGTTGGAGAAGTTTTTTTATGTGCATAGGGATTTGATTCTTAGAAGGTCCCATTTATCTATTTTGTCTTCTCCTGGTTTTAAGAGGTTTTATTTTTTAAAATTTTTTTCTAAACTAAATTTTTATTTGATTGATAGTTTTAAAATGATATATAGGCATTTTTTTGTCTAACGGCATTAATTAATGTAGTTAATTAAGCACAATATTTAATCACCTCTGTATTGTATATTTTCTGCTACTGTGGTTTTCTTACATTTAGCTGGACAGTGTTGCTTCTTCATTTTCTTCTCAGAATTTTATGGATTTTAGTTAGTCTATAGTCCAGTTTATTTTTGGGTATAATATGAGGACTTTTCTAAATCCATCTTATATATCAGTAGTTCTCTGTCAGTCATTTCTTTAGAAGGGGCTCTGGCACTAGAGACATTATCACTAGGGTCAGATAATCTTGGCAAAAAACAAAGAATACGAGAGGGATACATATCTATCTGTGTTTCATTGACTATGCAAAGGCCTTAGACTGTGTAGATTACAACAAATTATGGTTAACAGTGAGGAGAATAGGAACACTTAATTGTGCTTATGCAAAACCTGTATTTGGAGCAGTCCTCAGAACAGAGGAAGGAAACATTGCGTGGTTCAAAATCAGGAAGGGAATGTGTCAGGGACATATCCTCTCTCCATACCTTTTATTTCTTTCTCTCTCTCTCTTTTTTTTGTTGTTGTGTGCCGTCAAGTCAGATCCGACTGGCAAAGGAGGATGCTCATCCTTCTCCAGCAGAGCATCTGATGGATTTGAACCACACGCCTATGAAGTTGCAGCACAGCTTCTTGCCACTAGGCCACCAGAGCCCTCTACATACTTTTTCAATCTTTATGCAGAACATATTATTCAGGGAGTTAGGCTTTAAACAGAGGAATGTGTCATCAGGATTGGAGGAAGACTCATCAAAAACCTGTTATGCAGAGGACACAGCCTTGCTTGCTGAAACTGAGGAGGACCTGAAGCACGTGCTGCAGAAGATCGCGGACTGTAGTCTTCGATATGGATTGAAGCTCAACATCAAGAAGACAAAGATTATCACCATGGGGCCAGTTGGCAGTGCCATGATAGATGGAGAAGAGATTGAGGTTGCTTATAGTTACAGCTTGCTCCGTTCCACAATCAACACTCTTGACAGTAGCAGTCAGGAGATCAAAAGATGAATTGCATTGGTTAAATCTGCTGTCAGGGACAGTTCCAGAGTACTGAGAAGCAACGATGTTAGTTTAGAGACTAAGGTACCCCTGATCCAGGCCATGGTCTTCATAATTACTTGCTGGCATCATAGTGCTGGACAGTGACTAAGGGTGACAGAAGAATTGATGCCTTTAAGTGATGGTGCTGGAGAAGAGTGTTAAGCATACCATGGACTGCCAAGTAAACAGATAGTTGTATCTTGGAGAGGGTGAAATAAAGTTTCTTCTTGGAGGCTAGAATTTTGAAGCTCTATCTCATAATTTTGATGTGTGGCCAGGAGGAACCAATCCTTGAATAAAGACTTCATGGTCAGGAGGTGGGAGGGACAGTGCAGGAGAGGAAGATCCCAGATGAGATGGTTTAATACAGTATCTAGGGCAGTGTGCGTAGCTTTGTTGGAGTCAGTGAGAGTGTTTCAGGACAGGGCAGGCTTCAGAGCTGTTGTATATAGGGTTGCTATGAGTCACAGGTGACTTGATGGCACATAATGATGTCAACATATGAGGTAGGAATGTTTAAATTTTATTTACTCAATACACCCCCTCACACACACACTCAGTGGTGAGTTGGAATTTACTCATAGCTGACACTCCTGCCAGATTTTAGAGCTTGTGAATCACATGAGAAGAGAGAGCCCACGCTTCACAAAACAGCTTGTGTATTTTAACCGAGCCTTTGAACTGCCTTTGAGTTGGCAGTGTAACTCCTTACCCTTTAAGCCATTAGAGCTCCTGATTTTTATTTGGTATATATTAATTATATAGGCCATGGTCTTTGTAATCACTTGCTATTTATCAGAGAATTGGACCGTGACTAGGGAGAATAGAAGGAGAATTAATGCCTTTGACCTGTGGTATTGGAGAAGAGTATTGAATATACCATGGACTGCTAAGAACATGAACAGGTTCATCCTGGAGAGGGTTAAACCAGTCGCTCCTTGGAGGCAAAGATTCTGAAGCCTCGTCTGACATACTTTGGACATGTTGCAAGAGGGACCAGTCCTTGGAGAGAGATGTCATGTTTGGGAGGGTGGAGGGACAGTGCAGGAGAGGAAGACCCTCTATGAGATGGATTGATTCAGTGACTGGGGTAATGGGGGCAGATGTGTTGGAGACAGATTGGCACAGCATAGAGCAGGGTTTAGGGCTTTTGTACATAGGGTCGCTATGAGTTGCAGGCGACTTGACAGCACATAACAACAACAATATATTAATGGTAATATTTTATCACTGGTACTGCCTTATTTCCTTGCTTGGAAAATGGTTTTGTGGAATTGCTGATAGTGATTCCTGTTTGATAATGCATTTATTCTTTTCTCTTTAGATAAAACAAGTGGATCTGGAACTCACTCAGATATGATGGAAAACAGTAAGGAAGAGGTAGGGATAATTTAAGCATATTAAAATGTATTGATTATTTTAACTAATTAAATTTTTCTCACACAAATTACTATTGATTTAGAGCTGACTCGCAGTTAACCCTCCACCCAGTTTTCAGAGAGTTAAGTCACACAGGAAGAGATTATTCATACTTTTCTGCTCGAGCACTTGGTCGTTTTGAACTGCCTACTTTTGAGTTAGAAAACCAACTCTTTAGCAGCAGTCTTTCGCTTGGGATGAAATTACCCACTTTTCTCCAATACAGGTAGTGGATTTGAATTATCTTTGGGTTAACAGAGCCATTCCTTACCCAGTAGGCCACCAGAGCTCCTCATTTTTATTGTTGGGTCTTTTTTCCTGCTCAATATATGTGTGTGCCAAAATCTTTTGCAGTCTGTCCACATGTTAGAGTCCAAATGACACTAACAAGGTCAGGGTCCATGGCATGTTTGCACCTCCTTTTGCATCTCTCTATGGACTTGAGTGACCAGGCCTTGGGACAAATTTAAGGGGAGAGGGGCTCCACAAGTGGAGCTTCTGGTGACTGGTGTCAACTTCCCCAGGCCCAGGCCTGCACCACAAAAAAACCCCACCCTCTTTTGCTTACTTCTCACCACTGTTCCAGACACAAAGCCTGGGCTAGTCCTAGAGTTGACTTTTAAACACCACTTTACCACCACCCCTGTCCCTGACCAGTGGCTGAGTTGTCTTGAAGTGCCACAGGTACACACTGCAGGAACTCCCTGGTGCTGCCTCTTGTCAAGTGCTCTGTGCTTTTACTACCCTTCATTTCCTTCAGCTTTACACCCTGGACCTTGAGAAAGATAACTAGATCCTTCTGGGCATCGGCAAAGGTGGTGCTGGTTCTCTTTTATTGGGGTTGTTTTTTTTTTTTTTTTCTCTTCTCCTCTTCCTCAGGTCCTAATCTAGCATCAGCAATACTTTGGAGCCAGGCCCTATGGGTGACACAGATGGACTTCCTTTATTGTTGTTGCTATTATGTACCATCAATTTTGAACAGACTTAGCTGACTCTCCAGTGGGACTTTCAGAGTCAGTAAATCACATGGGAGGAGATTGGACACATTTCTCTCACAGGACAGTTGACAGAAGATTAGAACTGTGCTCCTTGGGGTTTGTAGCACAATCTCATACCACTAAGCCACCAAAGCTTCCTTAATCTTTATTAGTTATGTACATAGGGTCGCTATGAGTCGCAGGTGACTCGACGGCACATAACAACAACAACAACAACATTAATGAGAATAACTTACCACAAATCTTTCCGTTTTTCTAGCTTAGAAATTTTTTTTGAGTTGATAATGGTTCTGTATAATTAGTAATGTAATTGTACGTAATATCATTAAGTAAATGATCGTATTGCATGTGTTTAATACATGCACATTTAAAAATTATTTTTATCATAGTTTTAAGCAAATGGCATGTGTATTTTCGAGTTGTACCTTTCTTCAAGGATATGTTTATAAGCTGTACATCAATTACCTATGGAATATGGTGATGCTGGTATAAAGGGGAGGGTATAAATAAGGTTTCAATAAAATAATATATCACACCTTAATTCTGGAAATATACAGTAATACACAAGTGTCATCATTATGTTTCATTTTGGCTTTGTGTCTAGTTAAAAAGGTATATTTTACCACTGTTTACTTCAACAGTTTACCAAAATTCAGCCAGCTGATGGCTTGTTTACCCATAGATATTTAAACATTATAATAGGTTATTTTGAGGCTAAGAATTATGAGCATGGTTCAGTGAGTTTAAGCTTTCTCAGAGGTGGTTATTAGAAATGTCATTATAACTTTGTACTTGTTACCCCTGGCAAAATCATAGTTCAGGGAGGTTTTTTCCTATTTTAAATGTTCTATTTGAATATTCTTATTTGTACACCTTTGGTGTGGCTTTGTTGACTTGGACCACAATTATGATACAGGATTATGTGCACTCTTTGGTACCATAGAGACACAACATTAGCCATTAAAAAATGCCACAAAAGTAATATTGTTGTTATGTGCCATCACGTCACCTGCGACTCATAGCGACCCTAAACTCAACAGCCCTAAGGTACAGACCTAAACTCTTCTCTGTCCTGTACCAATCGCAATGTCTCTGACACATTCATCCCGATTATCCCAGTCACTGAGTCAATCCACCTCATACAGGGTTTTCCCATCCTGCGCTGTCCCTCCACCCTCTCAAGCATGACGTCCCTCTCCAAGGACCAGTCCCTCCTTACAACATGTCCAAAGTATGTTAGACGAAGCCTCAGAATCCTTGCCTCTAAGGAGCTGCCCGATTTAACCCTCTCCAGGATGAATCTGTTTGTCTTCCTAGCAGTCCATGGTACCCTCAATACTCTTCTTCAGCACCACAACTCAAAGGCATCAATTCTCCTTCTATCCTCCTTAGTCATTGTCCAACTCTCTGATGCATAACAAGTGATTGCAAAAACCATGGCCTGTATCAGACGCACTTTAGTCTCCAGAGAGACACCAGTGCTCTTCAGTACTTTGGAGAGGTCCCTAACAGCAGACTTTCCCATGGCAATACTTCTTTTAATTTCCTGGCTACTGGTGTCAAGTGTATTGACTTGATACTAATGGTTAACCCCACCATAAGGGAATATATCTTTCACTTTTTCTGTAAAATGCTTGTCTGTTGGATACTTCTCTAAATCTGAACATTCAGATGAAGACAGACTAGGAAGAAGAATTGGCCATCCACTTCTGAAATAGCAGACCTCTGAAAACCCTATGTATGTACAACAATAATAGTCAATAAAAATGTAAAGTAATATTTACTGAAGGAGAATTAAATTTTTATTTATAGAAAAATACTCTAAGTCTGTAAACAGTATTTTATTATAACAAAGATCTTATTATGAGAAAATGTTTGTGTTATGAATGGATATTCCTTTGCAAGTTTCACTCACCTTTGAATTTATTTCTTGTACTTAGGTAACTAGCTCTTCAGAGAAATCCAAATCTTCAGGATTGTCACGATCAAAGAGGTTGGTTAACATTGAAGGGAAGATCGTAATTTTCTTTTTCAGAGTGTTTTATTTTTTATTTAGAAATAAAATACTTTCCCCCTTAATCTCATTTCCAGCAGCACTCCTGTTTGCAAGAAATTATATAAAAACTTGTTTTAGAAAAATGGATATTGTTGTCATTGTGTCATTGATGGCAATTCATCACAACTCTATTAACAGTATTTGAAAGCTTGCCCTATCCAATGTCATTTATGATTTCCAGCATACATTGTTGTAGTACTGTGTCAGTCCTTTTTGTTGAAGGAAGGTCTTCTTTTTCTGACTCCAGTTATCACAGCAAAGTGTCTTTTCCCAAGGAATTGCCCTGCCTGAAAACATTTTAAAAGTATATGAGACAACATTTCACCATCCGTGCCTCTTAGGCGCATCCTGGTTGTATTCCCTCATAAGGCAGTCTGTTGTTTTTGTTTTGGTGGACCATGGGATGGTCAGTACTCTTTGCTAACTCCAAAATTCAAAGACATCATTAATTTTGTTGTCCTTACTCATTGTTCAACTTTTTTTTTTATTGTTCAACTTTTGATGCATAGAAAGGAATTGAAAATACCATGGATTAGTTGATGTGCACCTTGATTGTTGTTCTTTAGCACTTTAAAGAGATAGCGGATTTTCCTAGTGCAACATCAAAAGATTTTTGGTGGTGTTTCTCCTCCACCTGCTGTTACCATGGGTATTGATTGTGGACCCAATGAAAAGCAAATAGATAGCCTCATATAATAAACTCTCCATGAGTCACCTGGTTTTTAGCATTATTACCTTATTCAGACTATGGACCTTAAAGGAATTTTTTGAAGAAGAATTATTTTACATTAGTAACTATTTTAGTGTATAGCTTATTACTTGAAATAATGTAAAACGTTTGAAAAAGGAGCTAAGATTAGTGCAAAGATCAAATGCCTTACATGAGAATTTTAGAATATGTGAAATTATTTTGAATTGTAGAGATATTTCTGAATTAATTTTGCAGATAGAAATATTAATAAGAAGAGGAAATTAGGAAATGTGCAACAATGAGTGAATGTAAATTCATCTTTTCTGTAAACATCTTTTATAATCATAATTAAAATTAAAAATTGTTATTAAAAAGTATGAAAAGAGCTATAAATATTTAAAAATACATTATACACAATGTTCTTTTCCAAGGACTGGTCCCTCCTGTTAACATTCCCAAAATATGTGAGATGGATCTTCACAATCTTTATCTCCAGAGAGTAACTTGGTTTCACTCTCTTGAGGACAAATCTATTTGTTCTCTTGGTGGCCCGTGGTATGTTCCATACTCTTCGCTAGCACCTTAACTCAAAGGCATCAATTCTTCTTCTGTCATCCTCATTCATTGTGCAGCTGTCTGATGCATAGCAAGTAATTTTGAAGACCATGACCTGGATCAGGCAGGTTAGTCTCTAGACCTTAGTCTCTGTCTTTGCAGTTCAGCCCTTTGGAGACATCCCTGACAGCGAACTCCTAATCCAATTTGTGTTTTCATTTCCTGGCTGCTCCTTCCAAGAGTATTGATTGAGGACCCGAGGAGACTGAAATTGTTGACAATCTTGATTTCTTCTCCATCTATCATATTCCTGCCAATTGGCCCAGTGGTGAGAATCTTTGCTTTCTTGATGTTGAGCTTCAATCCATATTGAATACTGCAGTACTTGACTTTCTGCAGCAGATCCTTCAGGTCCTACTCGGTTTCAGTGAGCAAGATTGTGCCATCTGTATAATGCAAGTTACTGATGAGTCTTCCTTCAGTTCTGATGCCCCATTCTTCCTCATGAGGCCCAGCCTCCCTAATTATCTGTTCTGCATTTAGATTGAAAAGGTATGGAGACAAGATGCATCCCTGACACATTCCTTTTCTGATTTTGAAGCATGGTATTTCCTTGTTTTTTTATGATGACTGCTTTCTGGTCCAAGCAGAGGTTTTGCATGAACACAATCAGGTGTTCTGGGATTCCTGGTCTTTTAACAGCCACAATTCGTTGTGATCCACACAGTCAAATGCTTTTGTGTAGTCAATGAAACGCAGATCATTCCCTTATACAGTAGTTTATAAAAGTAATCCCTATTGATCTATGCCTTCTGTCACCCTCTCCTTTCAGATCTCCACTAGATCTATCCTGATTCCTTCTCCCCTCCAAATTCTGTGACCCCTAATTTTCCCCTTTCTTCCGTGATAGCCCTTCAGTCCTCATCCCCTTCCCCTGTGGGCTTTTATTTACATCTCACCTACGATCTTTTTATTTGAATAATAATGTTCTTAGGCCATGTTTGTCCTTCTCAGACTCAGTGAGTTCACTCAGTAAAATGCTCTCTAACCTCTCCCATGTTATATAGTACTTTTCAAAATAATTCCTCCTGACTGCTGCAGAATATTTTGATGTGCATAGCAATATTATTCACAATAGCAAGAAAATGGAAACAGTCCCGATGTCCATCATCAAATGAATGGATTGAGTAGTACAATCTCCATTAAAGGATTTCATCTGAATTTATAGTTTGTGTTTTTTAAAGGGAATTAATTTCATTAAATACATCTTTCTCAGAATTTGTTCAGTAATGATTTATAAAAAGGATTAGTCTTGATATGTTCTAAAGAATACTTTTTTCTAGTGAGTGTTTCCAGGAATTCATATGTGTGTTGCAACATAGCAATTCGTTTTCTATTAATTCTGGAGCCTTATTTTTGGCTAATACTTTCAGTGAATCTTTAACTTTTTCCTTTAGTACTATTAGTTCTTTTTCACATGCTCCTTGCTAAAATGGTTTGTGTCAACTAATTCTTTCTTATACATTATTCCTTCCATTTTCTTTTGATAACTATCTGCATCATTTATGATTTTGCCCATAAAAACTTGAAGCTTGAGTTTGTTCTTCAGTTGTTTTTGCTTTTCCCAGGCAAGGCATGACTTTTCTGTTTGGCTTTGTAACTCCAGTTCGTTGTACATTTCCTTATAATACATTGCTTTATCTTCCCATGGTGGCCTTTGAAATCTTCTCTTGATTTCTCTTCAGCCTTTTTTTCCTGTTTGTTTGGACCTCTCTACATTTCATTGCAAGTTTCAGAGTTCCTTCTGACATCCATTTTGATTTTTTTTCTTTCATTCTGTTTTTTGCGACAATCTTTTGTTTTCTTAGTGAAAGATATCCGTGATGTTATGTCACAACTCATTTGTTCTTCTGTCATTAGTGTTCAGTGCATTGAATCTATTATTTAGATTGTTTTAAGAATGTAATTGGATAGTCTCAAGATCGTATTTTGGTTCTTTTGGACTTTAAAAATTTATTTTTTTAGCAAAAAAATTGAAAAAGGTTTATTAAATCAATTAGACAGGTGTAACTTGTGAGAGGTAGACAAAAAAGTTTAAAGTGGAAAAAAGAGATGGAGGAAAGGAACCCTTGATAGATAGTGGGCCCAAATATTTTTTAAGCTTTGGTTTACACTTGCACATCCATAACTTATGGTGTGCTCCACTGTCTCCCTCTGGCCTTGTTTTCACTGCTGATAGTGAGCTTCTCCATTAATTTTTCCGGCAGTTACTGTCAATCTGAATATGTGTAATCTGTTTAGGTAATGCTCTTATATATAGTAGCATATGTTGTTTAAAAATGGTATTTACATTGAACAAATCATTGATTTAATTGTCACACAATTTTGTTATGTGCTCCCCTGTCTCATTTCTGTCATTAAGTACATAATTTCTATCCAGCAATCCCTCTTTGTTTCTGACTTTTGTATTCTAGCCACCAGTTACTATTAATGCGTTTTGGCTGCATGTTTGATTAATTTTAGATCCTTAAAGTCATCAGTTTCTTTAACTTTAATTATTGGAGCATATATTGGAAGAATAGTTACATTAAGATAGTTCCTTCTATGCTCATGGATTATATACTATCACAGCATTTTCCTGCACAATAGATGTTGAAATGTTCTTTTTGGCTAGATGTATAACTTTTTAGAAGTATAACTTTTTAACAAACTGGCAATATTTGTGAACCCATGTTTATTGTAGCATTCACACTATAGCAAAGAAGTGGTAGCAACTCAAAATAGCTATCAATAAAGGAATGAATCAATAAATTGCAGTACATTTACACAGTGGATTCTTTTTTTAGAAGTCGTATATAAGGATTTCTAATTTTTATACATGTACAACTTATAATATCATGTACAACTTGTTAGGTATGAGAGAACTTCATTACATAAAACAGTGAAAAGAATTTAAATAGGCATAATCATTTTAGACACATTTTTAAATACTGTTTCCAAGTCAAGCACAGCTATAAGTGATCATAAGAACTGAAGAAAATTTGTTTACAAAATTTATTACTTGTTCAGTGGTGCTAAGAACCAAGAAATAATTAATTGAGATCTCACTAATAGAGACATAAGTCAGTTCCTACGAGAGAATGACCAGAGTAACTCCTGATTGTTAGGCCAAAAAGATATCCTTTTGTATGTTTTTCAATTGTATAAGGACATACATTCAGCCAAAGGGGTCTGAGCAGATAGCACTCTTATTTGTAGGCTCACAGAGTGCTGTTCCCTGTCTCGCTTCATGGCTGTATTGCCATTGTTGATTTCTTTGTCAATTTTTTTTTCTTTCTTTCCTCTCTGTCACTTCGTCTGTCCTCTCCTTTGTCCTGCACACTGATGTAAACCGCTTTTTTATAGCCTTCCTGGTTCCGAGTAGTTTCATTTGCCAAAAATTGTATTCTCGTGGCAAAGATTGTGTTTTCCTCAGTGTAGCCCAGAGAGCAATCTAGTCGCAGCAAGGTGCCATAGTTAAAGTCTTTTACAATCCCATCAAATTTCAAGCAGAATGGTCTCCACGTCTCTTTAGCCAATTCTGAGTTCAGCTCTTCTGGATCCAACACATCTATTCTGAGTTTCTCAAAATTCTCGCGGAACTCAGAGTAGATTTGGTCATCCACTTTGGTGAGTTTCAGGAACTGTGGATCAACTGATGAAATCAGTTTGTAGTAGACTTCAGAATGCTGCATTGCTCTCATGGCCCAAGCCATCTCAGTGTCAAGATAATTACCATCAGATTCTGCTGGAAGAGAAAGAGCATTTACCACCTACATCAGCTTCCCCGAAACTGGCTCATTGCACACTCCAGTCACCTACTTGCAGTCCAGCCTACACAGTGGATTCTTAACCAGCCTTGGGATCCAAAAAAAAGAACTTTTGAAACATGACACAACATTGAGGAATGTAAAAACTCAGTCACAAAAGGGTATATACAGTATATAGTCTTATACATTATAAGACTACTGTTATAAACATAGGAGGGGTACCAGGGGGATAGGTACAAAATTCTAGGGAAAGAATGGATAGATGAGGAGCACTTAATTGGAATAGGTAATGAAATGCCACAAGTTTGCTTGCTAAAACTGAGGAGGACTTGAAGCATTTGCTGCAGATGGTCAAGGACTTTATTCAGCCTTAAATATGGATTGAAGCTCAACATCAAAGAAACATTCTCATAACTAGGACTATTGGCAGCATCATGATAGATGGTGAAGAGATTGAGATTGTTAACAGTCCAGTTACTGAAGAGCAGTCATGTCAGTTTGAAGAAAATGGTTTCGCTGATCCCAGTGATCATATGTATCTGAAAATTGGACAGTGAAAAAAAAATTGGACAGTGACAGAAGATACGTTTGAATTATGGTGTCGGGGAAGATCACTTAATATCCTATGACCTGTAAAATTATCAAACTGGTCTGTCTTCGAAGAAATACAACCAGGGCTTTCCTCAGAAATAAAGATGGCAAAACTCTCTCTCATACTTTAAGTATGTTGTCATGAAGGACCCATCTTTGGAAATACACATTGTGCTTGGAAAGTGGCAAGTCAAAGAAAGAAAGGAAGACCCTCAACAGGATGAATATACATATTAAAACTTCCCTTGAGCATGTCTGTCAGAAAGCTGAATGGTAGTCCAGAGTGGGTAAGGTTCTCTTGTAGGATTCAGTTGTGGTTGAGATGACATCCCTAATAACAAGTGCTTCTTTCAGAACTAGTATGACCTGGCCCTTCCCATACATACTAAATTATAGTACTTAATGGCTCAAGTTATTAATGTGTGCATCTTTAAGTAGTTATGATTTCATTTCTGATTTGGAGATTGTACTCATTTTACAATTGATACTTATATTCCTTTGATAGTGTTTTTCTTGTCAAAAATATCTCTAATGTTCATAATTTTTTTCATAGGAAACCTTCTGTTGTAACAAAGTATGTAGAATCTGATGATGACAAACCTTTGGATGAAACTGTAAATGAAGATGCTTCTAATGAAAATTCAGAAAATGATATTAATATGCACAGTTTGCCAAAAGGTAATGTGTATTAATATTTTAGGATTAATTAAAGTTAAGATTCATTTTTAAATAATATAATGTATGCTAATATTTTTGTGATTTCCCCCCCCCATTTTCTTGTGTACTGTAGAGTCAGATCCAATGGCATAGGAGGAGAGTGCCCTCCTTCTCCAACAGAGCATCTGGTGGATTTGAACTGTGCACTTTTGGTATTGCAGTGCAGCTTCTTGCCATTGCGCCACCAGATCTCCCTTTTCCTAATATTTTTATTGACATCATTCAATTTTCACTTGGTTTTTTTGAGTTGTTTGTAAAGGACATATAATTAGTAGTAGTAGGGGAATATATTAGTGTGTATGTAATGCGTGTTATTGTGGACTAGTCTGTTAACCTTGAAAACAATTTTTATTTTCTCTTTACATTGGTTTTTAATAAGGATTTTTTCTTTGAAATTATTATTGAATGTGAAAGCGCATAATTAGAATATATCAAGTTTAAATTCAGTAAATTAACTTAAATATCTATAACATTTATTGAACTTAATATATTCTAATTATGCACTTTCAATTCATTTATTATATATAAGCCATCTCGGGTGGCCTAGTGTCAAGAAGCTGTGTTGCAATTCTGAGGGCACATGGTTTGAGACCACCAGCCACTCTGTAGGAGGAGGATGGGTTGTCTCCTCCCAAGTGATTTATTGCCTTTGAAACCTGCCAGAGGTTCAGCTATGGGTTGGCTTCGACTCTGTGGTACACAATAGCAACTGTATATAAAAATGTAATGATTATCACTACAAAATTAAAGAGAAAAACAAAAAGCCTTTTAAAGTTTTTCCCATTTTATTGCATTTTTATTTTCCCATTGATAAGAAACATGTAACTGTTAAAAATAGAATCAGGTGTATTTTAAAAATTGTTGTCATATACCTCTCAACTGTTGTAGTTTTAATTTTAAAACCTCTTTAATTAAGAAAAATTCCAAATGATAATACTTAGCTTTTTATTGCCCAAATCTTATAATATTACCATTGTGTAATGAAAGATTGACAGAGAACTTGGTATTATAATGGTATTTCAAAGAGTAATGGTTTTAGATATTTTTCTTTGTTAAATAATAGATTTCAAGCTCTTAGGTTTATCAGATTTATTGTTATATGTTTGTTTTGTTGTTGTTGTTGTTAGGTGCTTTTGAGTTGAATATTTGTGACCCTGTGAACAAAAGATCTGAACCCCGTCCTGTCCTGCGCCATCTTTACACTTTCTGACACACAAGAGCCCATTGAAGCAGTCAACATAGCAGCTCACCTGGTTGACGGTCTTCTTCTCCTTTGCCAACCCTCCACCCTTCCCAACATCATGTCCCTAAACAATATTTGTTACTCATTTTCCTCATTTCAACTGTCTTCTAATCTGGGCTCTACAACTATTCTCTCTGTTTAGTGTTCATAGGACTTTAAAAAGCTTTATATTTAGAAAGTAGATGGCCCATCCTACTACCTAGTCTCTCTTTATCCGGGAGCTCCAATGAAACCCCCTTCCACGCTGGTACTAATATTTCAGTATCACAGCAACCCCAAGTAATCTCTTTATAGAAAACTAACAGACAAGTGCTGCACCACTTAGAACATTCTTTCCAAACACAATCATTAGCTGCCCGAGAGGCCTACCAATTTTAAATACGAATCCCAGTCACCAGTTTCTTTTTGCCTACACAAAAGGCTTTCCATCCAAGAGGATTTTAAATAAGATCAGATACAGTCATTCAGCTTACATTTGATTGCCAACACCATCAGAAACGCCCAAAATTTACCCCAGCCCTCAAATAAATCCCAAACACTTTACCCATCATGATTCAGCTATGTCATGCTAAAAGCTAACTTACAGATAGGATTAGACTGACTTTTAAATAAAAAGGCCCACCCATCAGTTCCTCTTTTCCTACACAAGAGGTTTCCTACCCAAGGCAATTATAAACAAGAACAAATATAGTCATTCTGCTTACACTTGATTGCCAACGCAATTAGAAATGCTCAGTTTACCCCCAGCCCTCAAGTAAATTACAAACACCCACCAGAATAATTTGCTTTAGTGTTTAAGTGTATTCCTGATCTGTGCTCTTTCCCCCCACTTTATAAATCAAATGTTTTATTAGATAATGACCCAAACCTCTGAAGTGCTAATGTATCTCTATTAGCAGGAAAAAAGGGATCCCCATCTTAGAGATCCTGATACTGTTCAGCATTAGCTGCAAGAGTAGTGATGTACATATAGATGCCACCATAGATCAGATCGTAAGGAAAGAACATTTAGCCAACCTTCATGTATTTAACACAGCCTCAAGCCACCAGGAGAAAGGCCCCCAACCCCCTTAATCATCTCCTCAGCTCTTCTGCTGAAGAATTTGGCCTTCACAATGACTGGTTACTTTGGGAATACTCCCTTCCCCCGAAACTTTGTAGTAACCCTATTGAACCACATCAATGATGGGAGCAGCTTCAGTGTTCTTTTTTGCAGCATTTACCCTTGTCTGCTCACTGACCAAAGTACATAATTTATCAAGGTTGACAGTTGGTCAGAAGTGCTGATTCTTCTTCAGATGTAATGTCTCATACCAACCTTTCTAAAATAACCTTGATGGTATTTGTCAAAGTTGATCTGTGGTAATGCAAGCCACCGTTATTACCTCAGCCTCCAGGGTGCTTCCGGTGCTTCCCAATGCGGTCATGGCCATGGCTCACGTGGTCCCCAATTTTCCGAGTCTTCCTCAGTCTTAATGGCATTTTAGTAGTGTACACAAAAAAGCAGTCTATGCTCTTTTTAGATGAAACTTATAAAAAATTCTTGGATGATTTTCCAAGTATGTTGCATGGGAGGGAAAGGATTTTGATAAGAAAAGTAAGGTGCTAGCAAAAATAAGTGAGAGCTAACAAGTAAATGAAAAAAGGTAATGAATAGAGAAAGAGGAGAGATGGAGGAAAACTGATTAGTTTCATATTTATTTGTCTTTACATAGCATTTGTCACAATATTGTGTAGTCATTTTAGTGACCCAGGAAAGAGAAAACTAACATGGAGTTATATAGGCAGTGATTCATTCACTTTTAATTGTTATGATTTCTCTGCTTCTCACTTTGAATACTTTATGAAGGCCTAGGACTTCAAACATTTATATAATTTAATGATATAGGAGAATGTAAGTCACTATGTGATATTACTAACCTAAGCCAAAATTTATTTCCTCCACCAAATAAAAATAGATCAGTTTGATAAGTTTGACTTGTGTGGTATGCATCAGAGAGCTGGACAGTGGCTAGGGATGATAGATAATTGATGTCTTTGAGCTGTGGTGCTGTAGAAGAGTTTTGAATATACTATAGACTGCTAGGAGAACAAACAGGTTTGTCCTGGAGTGGGTGAAGCTGGGGTGCTCTTTGGAGTCAAGGATTCTGAAGCGTTGTCTGACATACTTTGGGCATGTTGCAAGGAGGGACCAGTCCTTGGAGAGGGACATCATGTTTGGGAGAGTGGAGGGATGGCGCAGGAGAGGAAGACCCTTGATGAGATGCATCAATTCAGTGATTGGGGTGGCGAGAGTAGGTGTGTCGGAGGTTGGCACAGGATAGAGGAGGATTTAGGACTCTTGTACATAGAGTCGCAAGTGACTCGACAGCATATAACAACAGCAACAAATTATTAGTATTACATACTTTTATTAACTATAGGTAAGTACTACATTCTTGTACAATTGTCTGATTCTCAAAATGAGCTCTGGTGGCTTAATGGTAAGGCATTGTACTGCCAACCCAATGTTTCACAGTTTGAATCCACCAGGTTCTATTCTACTTGGAAGAAAGATGTGTCTTTGTATAGCCTCTAAAAACTCGCTGGAGGGTCAACTATGAGGAAGTTCTGACTTGATGGTTCGTAACATCTACAATCACAACAGTCTTCAATGTAAAATTGACAGATACTCAGAGATGCTAAAATGAATTCAGCATTTTATGAACTTTTTTAGCTTTATGTTGAAAAACTAAGATTTAAAACAAATTTTCATTTAAAAATTTTTTTAAAATAAGAATACATATTTACTTCCTTTTTTGTTTTTTAAAAACATTTTTACTAGTTTATTTAAAAAATTCAAATACATTGTTTTCAAGAATTCTTTCAATTTCTCTTAACGCCCCCAACAAATTGTACAATCCCGTTATTAATTCGCCTGCTCCCTGCACATTCTCATCCACTGCTTCCAACCTCTCCCACTCCTCTTAGATCCTTATGCTTATTATAAAATAATGGATTTATACAATATTTATCCTTGTGGGACTGAGTTAGTTCACTTAGCACAATGCTGTCCAGTCCTTCCCAAGTTAGGTAATAATTTACAAAGTCATTGCTCCTGCGTGCTGCATAATCTTTCATTATATGAATGTACCATAATTTCTCAAGCCATTCATTTGTGGTTGGACATTTGGGCTGTCTCCATGTTCTTGCAGTGGTGAATAATCCTGGTATGAATGTTGGTGTATAAATCTCCATTTGTGCCTCAGTTCTCATTTTCTCAGGCTATATTCCAAGTAGTGGAATAGCTGGGTCATACGGAATTTCTATGTTCAGCTTTTTGAGGAAGTACTAAACTGCCTTCCAGAATGGTTACCATTTTATAGTCTCACTCATGTCTGCCTTCATGTGATTTGCCTTTGCATTATTCTGTTTAGAGACAGTCTTCTGCATGAATTTATCCCCCTCCCTGTTTTCATTAACTCTAAAGTTTCAATTCTTCTAAAATGATGAGGCTCCTCTAGAAATATATATATAAGAAATGATTATAATTAATGAAGTTTTTTGGTGAGTATTAATTTTGTTTTAAGTCGGTTCTCTTTGCATATTCTCCCACCATCGTGCATTTCAAAGACTTTAAAACTTATTTTTCACCCTTTAACTTGCCAAAATCCATTTGTTGAATTATAGTTTCTGGTTCAGAAAGACAGCCTCCTCTTCTTTCACTCTTACTGTCAGTAATGTCCAGTTACTTGAGTCTATTAATTGAGACCTGGACCATATTTTTTTATTGTGTTGCTCTTTTATATTAGGGACCTCTGCTAACCTAGTTGTAAGGAACTTTGCTGTCATTCCAAAGACATGCAGTTTGCATCTACCAGGTGCTCTATGGAAGAACCATGGACAATCTCCTACTGTGGGATGATCCACCTCCTGAAAACATGCTGGACGATCAGCTTTGAGTCTTTTCAGACTCAGTGTTACATAACAAGAGAAACAACAACCCTAATAACGAATAATTTTGGTAATTGAGAACTAGACCAGAATTTTTACACTGCTCCTGTTTTATCCATTCTTGAGTGAATATAATGAAGAGTTCACTTAGCTACTTTCCACTTTGGTTTAGCCCTAAACCCTGCTCTGTCCTCTCCCAATCTCACTGCCTCTGATACACCCATCCCGATTACCCAAGTCACTGAGTCAATCCACCTCATAGAGGGTCTTCCCCTCTTGGCGCCATCCCTCCACCCGCCCAGGCATGATTTCCCTCTCCAAGGACCTGTCCCTCCTTACAACATGTCCAGAGTATGTCAGACAAAGCCCTAGAATCCTTGCCTCCAAGAAGCAGCCAAAGTACCAAAGTACTCTTCTCCACCACCTCAGCTCAAAGGCATCAGTTCTCCTTCTATCCTCCTTAGTCATTGTCCAACTCTCTGATGCATAACAAGTGACAGCAAAGACCATGGCCTGTATCAGACGCACCTTAGTCTCCAGAGTGACACCATTGCTCTTCAGTACCCTGGAGCAGACTTTCCCATCGCAATACGTTTTTTGATTTCCTGGCTACTGGTGCCAAGAGTGTTAACCGTGGAGCCAAGCAGACTAAAGTTGTTAACAATCTCAATCTCTTCACCATCCATCCTAATGCTGCCAATTGGTCCAGTGGTGGGAATCTTTGTGTTCTTGACATTGAGCCTCAGTCCATACTGAAGGCTGCAGTCCTTGACCCTCTGCAGCAAGTGCATGAGGTCCTCGTCAGTTTCAGCAAGCAGGGTTGTGTCATCTGCATAACGCAGATTGTAGATCTTCCACCAATCCTGACGCCACACTTCTCTTCATAGAGCCCAGCCTCTTGGATAGTCTGTTCTGCATACAGGTTGAAAAGGTATGGAGATAGGACACATCCCTGGCGTACACACTTCCCAGTTTTGAACCATGCAGTGTTTCCTTGCTCTGTTGTGACGACTGCCTCTTGGTCCAAGTATAGGTTTCTCATTAGCACAATTAAATGTTCTGGGATTCCCATTCTTCTCAGAGTCAGCCACAGTTTGTTATGATCCACACAGTCAAATGCCTTTGCATAATCAATGAAACACAGATAGACATTCCTCTGGTATTCTCTGCGTTCAGCTAAGATCCATGTAACATCACCTACAATATTCCTAGTACCACGACCCCTTCTAAACCCAGCCTGGACTTCTGGCAGTTCTCTGCTGATGTGCTGTTCCAGTCGTTTTTGGATTATCTTAAGTAGAATCTTGCTTGCATGTGAAATCAATGATGTCGTTCTATAGTTTCTACACTCTATTGGGTCACTCTTCTTTGGGATGGGAACAAATCTAGATCTCTTCCAGTCAGTTGGCCAAGTGGTTGTTCTCCAGATTTCTTGACACAACTTGGTGAGCATATCCAGGGCAGCATCTGTTAGCTGAAAGACATCAACTGGTATACCATCTATTCCTCGGGCCTTATGTTTTGCTATTTCCTTCAAAGAACCTTGAACTTCTTCCTTCATCACCATAGGCTTCTGCTCACATGTGATTTCATTAAATTGTTCTGTGTCTGCCAGTTCCTTTTGATACAGTGGCTCAGTATATTCTTTCAATACTTCCTAGATCATTTCATATTCTGCCTGAAGCATCCTTGACTATAGCAACTCGAGATTGGAATTTATTCTTCAGTTCCTTGAGCTTAAGAAATACTGAGCGAGTTCGGCCCTTTTGATTTTCCGACTCCAGCTCCTTGCACATTTCATTGTAATATTTTGCTTTCTCAACCTGTGCTGCCCTTTGGAATCTTCTGTTCAGCTCTTTAGTATCTTGAATTCGTCCTTGTGCTTTGGCTTCTCTGCGCTCCAGTGCAATCTTCAGAGTTTCTTCTGACATCCATTTTGGTCTTTTCTTCCTCTTCTCTCTTTGTAATGACCGGCTGCACTCTTCATTTGACATCCTCCCACAACTCATCAGGTCTTCACTCATTAGTGTTCAAGGCCTCAAACCTGTGCCTGAGATGGTTCTGAAATTCAGGTCGGATGAACTCAAAGTCATATTTTGGTTCCTATGGATTCGGTTTCATTTTCCTCAGCTTCAGCTTGAACTTGCATATGAGTAGTTGGTGGTCTGTTCCACAGTCAGCTCCTGGCCTTGTTTTCACAGCTGATATTGAGCTTCCGCAGATATAATCGATCTGATTCCTGTGCATACCATCAGGTCAAATCCATGTGTATAACCTGCGTTTATGTTTCTTATAAAACGTATTTTCAATGAATAGGTCATTGTGCAAAATCCAATCATTCTATCTCCAGCTTCATTTCTCTCACCATTTCTATGGTTTCCAACTACAGATTCTTCTTCTCCTTGTTAGACCACGTTAATTAAAGTGTCTTATAAAACTGTTTGATGACTTTACAGGTTAATGATACTTTTACTTCCTGACTGGGAAATGCTGCAGAATAAGATGTAGCTGAATAAACTTCTTTTGTTGTCTCTTTCAAGTGGTTTCCCGGGGCAGTACAAACTTAATGGTAATTATGTTTTTGGGTTTATGACTTGGATGATGAGATATATAATAAGTATTTTTTGTCATTGTTTGTATACCATAGAATTGGAAGTGACACATAGCTGACCCTCCAGTGGATTTTCAGAGGCTATAAAGCACATGGGAGTTGACCTTTCTCCTGCCGAATATTTTGTGGATTTGAACCATGTGCCTTTACATTGCCAGCAAAATTACTTACCACTAAGCCTCCAGAGTTCCCTCTTTTTGTCTGTTCTTGTTATGTGCTGTCAAGTCGTTTGTGACTCATAGCGACCCTATGTACAACAGCCCTAAACCCGGCTCTGTCCTGTGCCTATCGCATTGCCTCTGACATACCCATCCTGATTACCCCAGTCACTGAATCAACCCACCTCATAGAGGTGGATTGTCTGTAGTTTACTTAAAAGCTTTGTATTGAATTTAAAATGATCATTAATCGTCATAGCAGCTTTCGTAATAGGCACCATTAAAAATTCAGAAGCAGTCTGAGGCTTCTTGACTCACACATTTCTTAAATAATTTCATTACTACCCAGTGTTTTTATGGGTTATATTTCAATAAGTATTCGGATTGTTTACACGTGGCCCCCCCCCTTTTTTTTACACCTGGTTCTTTTATTGTTTCATTTACTGTTGAGAAGTCTTTAAACAATATTGAGTGTTTAAAAACACACACACACACAAAAAAAAACCAAACAACCCAACAATATTGAGTGTTTAATGGACAAACCTCCCAAAACCTACCTATCAGCAGTGTTGGCTTTATATGAACTGAAGTCTTAATACTTCACTTGCACATTTAATATGTGTAATGGTTTTTTAAATGAAATCATTCTAGGTACAGTGATTGTACAACCAGAGCCAGTGCTGAATGAAGACAAAGATGATTTTAAAGGGCCTGAATTTAGAAGCAGAAGTAAAATGAAAACTGAAAATCTCAAAAAACGCGGAGGTAAATACAAGTAAAAATGGAAACTTAACTTTAAAATGCTGTTTATGTCCATATTGGAAAATCTGACGTGCTTACTAAAAATACCCCCACCTTTCTCCTCACTGTTTATTAAAAACATTACTTAAAAGTAAATTCTGTTTCTTTTAGTTCTGAAACAGAAAAGATTTTAAGTACCATTTATCAAAATAACCTTTACATTCAGTGGCTTTTAAGGTATATCAAGAAGATTAGAAGTTTCTTCTTTTATGTAATTTCTGTAATGCCTGTATGCCAGTATACCATGAGCTTCTCTCAACACCTGAAGAATTTTAAAGTTGTCCAGAATCTTTTCTGTGCCATTTGCGTAACTTTAAACATATTTAGAACATCACATGATGGACATCATTAATACTGTAACCTGGAATGTATATTAAAATGCAAATATCTTGCTTAAATTCTAGTTCTATAATTTATGAGGATGAGATCAAGAATGTGTTCTTCTGTTTTCATATATACTGAAGTTTGAGATCTGTTGATCTAAATACAGTAGTGTAGAGATGTATAATAAGGAGAAAGGATTAGTTGTAAATCTCTTTCCATCCATTCACCTGAGTTACCTTTTCCTTAAGACAGTAGTAGATAATAGTAGGTCTGTATATCCCTATTTAAATGCACAACTATATTGGCTAACCATTTATAGAAACGTAATAAAAATTTAATTAGGAATTTGTTGACAATAGAGTCTCTCCTTTCTTTGTTTGCATGTGATTTTTGAAATATTTTCTATAATTTACCTTTTGGACAGATCATCATGACTTTTGGGTGCCTAAAGTGCAGGACTATAAAAGGAGCAAATCTTTAAAAGCTTGTGATAATATATTTCTAAATTGAAGTATAAGGATATAATGATGATTTAATATTTTATGATGTTACATAATTGTGCAGTTATAGTGAAGTTCTTTTTTGATGAAAACAATTCATTTTAGAGGTATTATCTTAATGAAACTAGTAAAATATATTTGTACTGATAAAATGTTTAACCTTTTGTCTAAAATAATGAACTACCCTTTTCTAGCATAAGGAAGATTTGCTGAGAGTCTAGTTGAATGTTGGTAAACTGCCATTGCAGCATGAAAGCCATGCACACTAATTTATATTTTTAAAACGTAAGAGAATCAGTCAGTATACCCAGAATGAGAGTAAGGATCAGTAGCAAGAAATTTTTTCTTTTGTAGGAGAAAGAGAAATAAACATATTGCATTTTGTATCCTTTGTGCTCTAGCATAGTCATTGTCTAATAGATGCATAGAAGTTAAAAGAAAAATTCACAAAGTTTGCTCTGCTTTTGCTGTTAGGTCAGATCTGGTGCATTTCTGGAACATTCTCTTGAATGTTCTTTGTACAAATATTTAAATCATGCTTAAGGCTATAAAGCACTTAGATCTTTAATAATAATATGTGTCTTAATGTTTATAGCATATTTAATCTGAGAAATCATAATTTAATTATGTTTTTTCTCATGCACATAAAGTAGTGATCTATTATACTGAATTGACATATTAAATCTTAAAACCATTCGATCTAAAATTGAGGGCAAGTTGTTAATTTTGCTAAACTTTATATAAAAAGTCTTCTCTTGATTTAAACTCAAATTCTAAAACAAAGACAATGGCCATTTTAAGAGCCACTATTTGTTAAATACCAGGTCTCCACATGCTTTCCTTAGTTTAATTGTTAGGCATTATATTTTATGCCTACCTTTTGAAATGTGACACAGTAGATTTTCTTTTTGAATGACAATTTTGATATTGACAATTTTGATATTTGTGTTCAGAAATGGAAAGTCATCTTTTCCAGTTACACATTGCATTGTCTTATAACCTTTAAGATATTTAATAAATGATGTATAACCTTATGAGAAACAATTACGTAAATTATGTATCTTTAATATTTTACCATATGTCCTTTTTGTCTCATTTAAATGAAGTATTGAATCAGTCCCACTTTTAATCTATTTCTCTTCTCCCCAGGTTATGTTCTTGTGTTATTTCTGTGTATATATTTTTTTAAATATACTTATTCATAAGTACTTGTTTTCAATTTTAAAATAAATAGTATGCCATATATTGCAGTTGTATGTTTAGAAATATATTTCAGCCAATTTTTCATTTATTATTTGCTTGTTTAACTTTCTTATAAATCAGCTGTGAGGTAGTTCCAACTCAGTGATTCATAGGCACTTATTGTATATTTACAACATTAAATATAACTGGAAGCTCTGTTGACCTAATGGACAGACAATTGTGGTGCCAACCCAAAAGCAGGCTACTCAAATCCACTTGCTTCTCCTCAGGAGAAAGATGGGCAGTCTATACCTGTGCGATTCACAACCTCAGAAAACCAGCTGGAGTGTCAGCTTTGAGTTGATTCTGGTTTAATGGCAATGAGAAAGAAAGAAAAACAGAGAAAGCAAATATACATTTAGTATTATACATGTAGAAGATTCATTTTATTATAGAATTCCATTATATGACTGAATTATCCAATTCCTAGTGGTGAAGTTACTTCCAGTTCCTCTTTTTTAATTACTGTTATGGAGCACCCAGGTTAAGACAAACTAGGAAACTGGATTGGCCATTTACTGTGAAATAACAGGCCTCTGAAAACCCAAAACCAAGGAAAGAATACAGATAGCCATAGTATTAGAAGTAGAGACCATATTAGATATTGATCTAAATGAGGAGAAACACTTACAGACATTATTTAATAATTTAAATATGGAATATATAGATACAGGAAAACTAGAAGTTGAAAATGAAATGAACTGCAGGAATATTTACATTCTAGGCATTAGTGAGATTAGAAAGACTGGAATTGGTCATTTTGAATCCACCAATAATAGGATCTATTATGTGGAGAAGGAAAAACTGAGGGAAAATACTGTTATATTCCTAGTTAAACAATTTCCAGTTCTATACTGAAGTAAATGTTGTGGGTGATAGTATATTAGCTATAGTATCCATATACAAAGAAGAGCTGTTAATACGACTGTTATTTAAATATATTAAAATATATACACGAACAGCTTAACCCAAAGAGGAGGAAACTGAAGATTTTTACTAAATTTTGTAGCCTGACCTGGAATAAACGTGCAGTCAAGATGGGTTAATGATAATTGGTGACTGGAATGCAAAAGTTGGAAACAATGAAGAAGGAATGATAGTCAGAAAATACGGACTTGGTGACAGAGTTGAGGCCAGAAAATAAATTATAAAATTTTTTATACTCAGGGATTTATTCATCACAGTAAATTTTTTTTAAAAATCCGCAGATTACAGCTTTATACATAGACCTCACCTTGATGGATTACAAAAGAATCAGATTGACTACATATGTGGAAGGAATCTTTGGAGAAGCACAGTATCAGTAGTCAAGACCAGGTCAGGTGCTGAGTGTAGAACAGACCGTGAATTACTCCTGGAAGTTCAAATTGTGGCTGTTGGGTCCAGAAGAACCAAAATATGACCTTGAATCTATCCCACTTGAATTTAAAGGTCATCATAAATAGGGGTTTGAAGCTCTGAACACCAGTGATTGAAAACCAGATGAATTGTGGAATTACTATCAAGGATATCCATTACAAAGAGAAGAATGAAAGTCTATGTGAGAAGAGACTGATAATTGCACTACAATGTGCAGAAGCCGAAATGGAAAAATTGCTGAAGAGATGTAGGAGAACAGAAAATCTCAAAGGATAGCTCAAGAAGACAAAGCAAAGTATTACAATGAAATGTGCAAAGAGCTGTAGCTAGAAACTAAAAAGGGAACAATACACTTACTATTTCTCATGCTGAAGGAACTGTATAACAAAGTCAGGCTTTGAGTTGCAATGCTAAAGGATGGTACAGGAAAAATTTTGATTGATGATAAAAAGAAGATGGGAAGGAATACACAGAGTACCAAAAAGAATTAAATGCCACTGTTAGTTGTATTCAACTTGAGGACTCAAAAGCACTGAACAACAAACATCAACAATTAGACTGCAAAGAATATAGTTTTATTTATATATATACACACACACACACACACACACACAATATATATATGTCATTTAATTGTTTATATATATATACACACACACATATATGTCATTTAATTGTTTATTTTTTAAAAGAACTGATAGTAAATGCATTTGCAAAGCAAATATAAAATGAAAAATGAGCTCTTGATACCTAGTTCTTAAGTTCCATTTAAAAAAATTGAAGTTTTTTTTTATGTTAGGTATGAAAAACATAATTTTGCATATTTCAGTGTGACAAGTTAGGATTGTACCTCTGGAGTTTGCCACTATTTTCATGCTTTTAGGCAATCAGTAGTTATTTATCTGTTTTTCTTATGTTCCCATGTAGGTTTTCCTAGGATTGAGAAGTATTTTTTTTCTAAAACAGAAAATGCAGTGTGATGACTAAAACAGAAATCTATCTGTTTGTGTGTGTATATGATTAATGGGCACTATTTTCTCCTAGAAGATGGGCTTCATGGAATTGTGAGCTGCACAGCTTGTGGACAACAGGTCAATCATTTCCAAAAAGATTCCATTTATAGACATCCTTCACTGCAAGTTCTTATCTGTAAAGTAAGTAGTGCTACGTTGCTAATTAACTCAACAAATATTTACTTACTATGTGCTAAACCCTTGAGATACATTGATGAGAGAGATGAAATTGTTTTTTGTCTTTCATGGATTTACATTGTAATTGAGAGGGTAGACTTTTAAATAGCCTAATAAATGCCATGATATAGAAGATACATTTTATTATCGAAAAGCATAGGAAACTTGTGTAATTTTATTTTGATTTGCTGCAGTTGGGGTATTTTCCAGTGGAGGTGATGTGAAATGTTTATGATGTGAACTGCATTAGCCTCGTGAAGTGAGGTTGGTTCAGAGTGTTCTAGGCTAATACAATGTGGTATTAAAAAATTAGTAGATTAAAGGGAGGAGGGTAAGGAAATGGGAAAGATACAGTGGGTACCTGAAAAGACTGGATAATTATGGGCAAGGTCCAATAGTGATTAAGTTTATAATGCATGGATATGATTGTATAAAACACAGTGTATGTAAACTTTGTAAGCAAACCAATATAAAATTTTTTTGCATCATAAATGTTAAGCGTTTTATTGTGACAAGACAAATGGTTGTTCATAAAAATTTTTTTTTAAAAAGGGAAAAATTAGTAGGTGAGAGCCTGATGTGTTTGAAAACCTAAAGACTGTACTTGTATGAATGCACGCATTTTGTAACCTTAAGTTTTTTTTTGACACTTTATTACATCAGATGGGCTTTGGGGGACATAGGGGCGCACTCAGTCCTTCTTGGCAGCAGCCTTCCTCATGGTGGCCAGGACATTGCTGAGTTCTTCTCACTTCCTCTTGGCATGGATGTGTGTCCCCACCCTTTTCTTGATGAACTTGAGGGCCTGCTTGTCCTTTGAGACCTTGAGCAGCTTCATGGCCCGTTGCTCCCAGATCATGTCCCGCACGGACTTGGTGTGCTTGGTGAGGCGCCCGCTGCGGCGGCTGTGCCTCGGCTTGCTCACGTTCTTGGTGACTTTGTGGCCCTTGTTGAGGCCCACGGCCATAGGGTAGCACACAGCCATGGCTGCTGCACGTCTATGGCTGCCGCGGCGGAAGCATAACCTTAACTTTTAAATACATGAGAAAGTTCTCAAAGTTGATCAGTGCTGTAAGATGCTGACCTAAAGGTTAGTAGTTCAGAGCTACCCAATGGCTCTGTAGAAGAATGACCCTGAGAACTGTCTATAAAGATTACAGGCAGGAAAACCCTGTGGACAGATCTACTTGTAATACATGGGCTAACTTGATGACCACTAATAACAACATGAGGGGAGCTCTGGTAGCCTACTGGTAAAAAGTTGCACTGCAAACCTGATGGCATGTGGATCGAATCCATAGGAGAAAGATGGACAGTCTCCTCCTGTGCCATTTACTGCCTCTGAACCCCCTGGAGAGTCATGTATGGGTCCTTTCTGACTCTGTGGTACATCATAACAACATTTCTACAGAGCTCAGATAGCCTAGTAGTAAGCAGATATACTGCAATCCCAAAAGCATGTGATTCAAATCCACCAGCTACTCTGTGGAAGAAAGAGGAACAGTCTTCAGTGTGCTTTACTGTCTCTGAAAAACCTACTGGAGGCCTAACTGTGAGCCAGGTCTGACTTGACAGCACCCAACAGCAGCAACAAAAATAATATGTGGAGTAGTATTTTAACATAATTTGGAGTTTAAAAATGTTTAAAAATCTTAGCTACAGATTACAGTTTTATTAATACCTTGGAATTAATTTATATTAATCTTTACCTAAAGTTAGCTAAATCACATTTACATTTATCTAAATTTAGATTTATCTAAATCTAAACTTACCTGAATCATATTTTTGCTCAGACAAATCCTATGGTGGTTGTCACCTCCCTAAAAATTAAAAACAAACCAGAGGAATTGCCACAACACCAAAATTCATTGTCATTGACTCATAGCTGACACAGGGGGAGATTGCTATTTTTTTCTCTTGGAGTCGCTGGTCAATTTTTATCACTAGAGAACTAAGACCTTTGAGTTATCAGTCTACTTCCCACGTGAATTACATCACCATAGCTTCTCCCAACCAAAAGCTGCCTTGAAATGCAATGGTAGTTTAGGCTTTCCTTAGAGGTTCAGCTTTGAGCTATTCTTTTACAATTTTTTTATATACTCAGATCTGCTTATATTCATTAGATTTTAGTTATTCCATTGAGCTTTTTGTATCTTGCTTTGAATTCATGTTATTCAGGTACTTGTTATCTAGGGATAATATTTAACTTTTATTTTTAAATCATGACATCTGGGTCTAGTATTTCTAGATTCATGCCGTGTATTTTCCATTTTCTCTCTCTTTTTCTCCCTCTGTGTGTGTATGATAGCTTTTTTCTTAAAGGGCTAGTATGTTCAGTGAAGCTCATTTTAAGTAATCAGTACTTTTCACCAGTGGGCATGAAACCTTAATCTGTTCCTAGTGAAGAGTACTTTCAAGCCACTTAGATTTGGATTTGAATAGTAGTTTTAGTATTTGTATGAGTTAACGTTTCCCTTAAAAATTTGGCATATATTTTGAATGGTATTTTGAATTTTAAAGTAATAGAGGTTAATTGTTTAACTCTATACACATTATTATTATTGATGGCAGATATTAAAAGTATTTCGTAGCAATAATTTCAGTAAATTTTTTGTCACACTCTATCATGAGAATAAAGGATTTTGTAAACTTTTTATCCTTTTTTTATTGGTTTGCATACAAGAATCCATATACATTGTGTTTCATGTAAATATGTTGTATTTTATATGAGCTTTCATTTACATTGCATTTTATAGAATTATTAGTCATTTATTCCTATTTTTACCCTGTTTTTTCAAGCCTTCATGGAATCTTTTCTATTCCTTTACCTCCACATCGACCCACTAACCTTACTATCCTAGTGATTTTCTTTCTTCCCCTTTTTTGCCTGCTTCTTCCTTTTCCCTTACCCTTTGAACACATCTTACTCACTTATCCTTCTATTTTTATAATGTTCTCATGCAGTGTTTAAGAGACTTGAATTATTTCACTAAGCATAATGCTGTCTAGACTCTCCCATGTTATATATAGTATTTTATGAAAACGTAATTCTTTTGTGATGTAGAGTGGTTTAGTCCACTGTGTGAATGTATCAGTTTTCTCAATCCATTAATTTATTCATGAACATTTGTGATATATCCATTTTATTGCTATTTAAAGCTGATGTGAAAATAAGTGTACATCTCTTCTCTTGGTGTCTCAGTTCTGATTTCTTTGGGAAATATTCCTAACAATAGAAGAGCTATGTATATGGAATTTCTGTGTTCAGGTTTTTGAGGAAGCACTAAACTACCTTCTAGAGTGATGGTATTGTTTTACAATTCCACTAGCAGTGCATGAAAGTTCACATCTCTTCACATCCTCCCCAATATTTATTGCTTCCTGTCATGTTAAACTTTACTTCTGTTAACTGGGTGAGACGGTATCTTGTTTTGATGTATTTTTTTCATTTTTGCAAAAATAAATTTTTAATCTTTACTTTGATTTAAAAATTACTCTTAGTATGGTGCCAACACCAGCTGTGCCAAAAGGGCTCTGGAGAGGCGTTCATAGGAGTACGCATCTGTTGCTCTTCTTTGGTTCTGGCGGCTCCAGGACAGCCAATACAAATACAGGACAGTCAAATACATTCTTTTATGCCTTCCTGTGTGAGTCAACAACACTCCACATATATAACAGCCTTCAGTTCATGGGCCAGCTTTTTATAGCAGTCTCCAGGGTGATGGGCTTCTATTTATTCTTGACAAGTTTCTCAGTAGTAGAAGGGTTATCTCTCAGATTAATTTGGGCCCAAACAAGCTAGAAAGTGGTCAGCTGTTTCAGGTACTCACTTTTCTTTCACATTTTCAAATGAGATTGGAGAGAGACCACTGTAAAACAGGCTGAAATGCATCTGTTTGTAGATAACTCAGTGGTTGTACTTGGTCATAGTCCTCTTTCCCTGCAGTATCAAAAGGTCTAAGAGTATATGGTTCTCCACCAACCATAACTATGTTAAAATAGTTAAGAATCAAAACAAAAACATTGTTGTCAACAAAAACAAATAGTTATCAAAATTAGTCAGGACGTATTCAGATGGAAATTTTTTTTGTTGTATACTATATCAGGAGATACCATCATTTACAACATAATTGTTTGCATTGCTGAAACAGTTTCATGTCCACTTTAAGTGTTTTAGGTTTGATGCTGACCTCAACTTCTCTGCCAGGGCATTGGCAGCACCGCCTGATTTGTTTCTTGATTGTCCATAATTTTGAACATTTCTTCATATGTCTGTTGGCCATTTGAATGTCTTATTTGTGAAGAGTCTTTTCATGTCTTCTGCCCATTTTGTCATTTGGAGGCCCTGTAGGATTCTGTAACCTTCATTTATTAGACCTGTGTCTGAAATGTCATTGTCAAATGGTTTTTCCCAGTCTGTAGGCTTTCTGTTTACTACCTTAGAAAAAAAATTTTGGATGCACACAGGGTCTTGATCCTTAGAAGGTCTCATTTGTCGATTTTATCTTCTCCTGGATGTCCTTTTTGACTATATTTGCAAGCTTATGAAGAACCTTTCTTGTAAGCAACAGTTATGTTTGTTCCAATGGAAATCTATGTCAGGGGATTTCTTAATATATGTTGACAGGCTTTTCTTTTGGGGGATATAGTTCAGTGTTTTTGTTTTGATTCTGAAACAGACACTTAAATTTCCTTTTATTTTTAATAACTTGAAAAATATATCATTCTTCCACCCTTCTTCTACCCTTCACTGTTTGGGCTATTATAGGTTTCTTGTTCCTTTTTTATAATTGCAGCAGTCATACTGTCCATATATGATTCTTTACAGTTTGACTCACCTTTATCTTGGTCCTAACAGTGTTCTTTATCAGTACATTATATTTCTGTTTCAATATATCCCTCTCTTCCTAGGATAGCAGAGACTAGTTGGGTGGAGGTGGATGTGTGAAAGAATAGATAAGATGTCATGAAGTTTTGATGAGGGAGAAAGTCAAACTTTGTGAATAATTAATGACATAAAAATAATGTACAGAATTGATTGTATATAAAACTCAATCTGTATGAATGAAAAAAATGTGTTTGAATAGTTTTATGGAAGGAAATTATTTTATAAATAAAAAAACCTTAAAAACATAGAAAACCATATCTTTTATGAATAATACTAATTTTGAATAAAATGTCCTTTTCCTTTTTTTAAAATAGAATTGCTTTAAATATTACATGAGTGATGATATTAGCCGTGACTCAGATGGAATGGATGAACAATGTAGGTAAGTAATGAATAAGTATGAACTGAAAGTTTGGTGTGGTTGTTTAGTTCTTTGAGGGTAAGTCTTACGTATCTTTAAATTAGATACATATTTTGATGACGTCATAAGTGATGTCTTTAAAGATTCCTGTTTCCATAAGCTTTTAAGTTTATAGTTGTTTAAGTTTCTAGTACAGAATTAGCAGATAATTTAAATTCATGAGTACTGGCAGCAAAATTGAAATTGTTTTACTGAAAATATTTAAAAGAAATTTTATCAGGAATAATATTCTGATCTTTAAAAATTTTCAGGTGGTGTGCTGAAGGTGGAAATTTGATTTGTTGTGACTTTTGCCATAATGCCTTCTGCAAAAAATGTATTTTGCGCAACCTTGGTCGAAAAGAGCTTTCTGCGATAATGGATGAAAACAATCAATGGTATTGCTACATTTGTCATCCAGAGCCTTTGTTGGACCTGGTCACTGCATGCAACAGCGTATTTGAGAATTTAGAACAGTTGTTACAGCAAAATAAGAAGAAGATAAGAGTTGACAGTGAAAAGAGTAATAAAGTTTATGAACATACACCCAGATTTTCTCCAAAGAAAAATAGTGCAAATTGTAATGGAGAAGAAAAGAAATTAGATGATCCATGTGCTGGTAGTATAACCTACACTTATTCAGCACTAATTGTGCCTAAAGAGTTGATTAAGAAGGCAAAAAAGTTGATTGAGACCACAGCCAACATGAATTCCAGTTATGTTAAGTTTTTGAAACAGTCAACAAATAATCCAGAAATCAGTTCTGCTACAAAGTTACGTCAGCTTAAGGCTTTTAAATCTGTGTTGGCTGATATTAAGAAGACTCATCTTGCATTAGAAGCAGATTTGAATTCAGAAATCCAAACTTTGGATGCTATAATCAAGGAGAAAAATACCAAAGAACATAAAGGTGTAGATGTTAAATCTGAAACAAAAGTGAAAAAGGGAGAAAAACCCTGTATTTTGGAAAGGAAGGATATTTCAAAGCCTGAGTATAAACAGTCAAGAAAACAGGTAGATAGTGAGCATGTGGATCAGGATTTTCTAACAGAGGAACAAAGAACAAATAAAAGTACCTGTTTTGACCATAAGAAATGTAATAGAAAAGAACCACGATATGAACCTGCTAACACTTCTGAAGACTTAGACTTGGATATTGTGTCTGTTCCTTCCTCAGTTCCTGAAGACATTTTTGAGAACCTTGAAACTGCTATGGAAGTTCAGGCTCCAGTTGATTATCAGGGAGATGGCATCAGTGGAACAGAACAAGAACTAGAAAGTTCTTCAGTAAAATTAAATATTACTTCAAAAGACAACAGAGGAGGTATTAAGTCAAATACTTCAGCTAAAGTAACTAAAGAATTATATGTTAAACTCACCCCAGTTTCCCTCTCTAATTCGCCAGTTAAAGGTGCAGATTGTCAGGAAGTTTCACAAGATGGCTATAAGTATTCTGGTGTGAACCCAAAGTCAGAAAATGGTGGACCTGCACAGGAAAGCAGAGATGATGAACATTTGGTTGGAAATGAAGGCCTTTTGCTTTTAGAAGAATCTGATCTTCGAAGATCCCCACGTGTAAAGACTACTCCCTTGAGGAGGCAAACAGAAACCAACCCAGCAACATCTAATTCAGATGAAGAAGCCAATGAAACAGTTAAGGAGAAACAAAAATTATCAGTTACACCAAGAAAGAAGGATAAGCGGAACTCTTCTGTCAGTGTTACGGATAATCCTAAACCTAATGAATTGCCTAAATCTCAGCAGTCAGTTATTTTGGATCAAAATTCAGACTCTGAAGAAATGATAACAATCCTTAAAGAGGTAAGCAGGATGAGTCACAGTTCTTCTTCAGATACTGATATTAATGACACTCATGGAAACCACGAGAAAATATTATATAATATAAAGACTCACATAGAGAAAGATGATAAAGGAAAAAGGAAACGAAAAAGTTCTTCTTCTGGTTCAGATTTTGATACTACAAAGGACAGATCAGCTCATAGCTCTGTCATTTATAAAAAGAAACGTCAAAATCAGTCTGAATCGTCTAATTATGATTCAGAATTAGAAAAAGAGATAAAGATCATGAGTAAAATTGGGGCTGCCAGAACAACCAAACAAAGAATTCTAAATAAAGAAATTAACAATTCTTCTGAAGATGAAAAACAAAATGAAAAAGGAATGGCTGTTCAAAGGGAGAAAAATTTGAAAACTGCATGGGAAAAATCATCAGGAAATGTTGAACAGAAAGATGGGGAGAATTTCTCTTCAGCTGAATCAGGCACAGTTGATGAAGATAAAACTGTCAGGGAATTAAGAGACAGGTTCTCTAAGAAACAACAGCCAAGTTTTTCTTCTGATGGCATGCATAAACTGTCTTCAGGGAAAGAAGAGAGTTTTGATTCTTCTGATACAATAAAAAGGGCTGACTTGAAAGAAAAGAGCAAGAATTTAAAAGTTAAAATGATGTTTAAGAAAGGTCAGAGTAACATATCTGAAGTTGCTGAGAAAGTCCCAAAGAAACAACAGAGTGATGAGTCCTCTGGAGATGAGAAGAATCAGGATAAACAGCAAATTAAAGAAAAAGAAAATAAAGTTACATACTTTAAGAAAAAAATACTTAAGATGGAACAGCATTATGATTCATCATCTGATGACAATGAAAAATTACCTGAAGGAGAAGAAAGTTTTCATATTCCTAAAGGTATAAAAGAAAACAAGAATGAGAAAATGAATGGAAAGAAGACAAGTAATAAGACAAAGGAAAACGCTTCTAAAAAGAATGAATTTTCTGATAATGTTGAGAAGTTACCAGGAAAAGGAGATAATTGTGACTCAGAAGATAAAAAGAGTAGTAGTGGATTATCTGGTAAAGAGAAAAAAAAAAGTAACTTGCCTGTAAAGAGTTCAAGGAAGGGACAAGATTGCTCATCATCTGATACTGACAAATATTCCATGAGAGAAGACGGCTGTGTTTCCTCTGATAAAAGGCAAAAAAGGCTAGAACTGAGAGAAAGAAGAAACTTTAGTTCAAAGAGAAATACTAAGGAAATTGAAAATGATTCATCATCATCTGATGCCGAGGAAGGTTTTTCGGAAGAATATAAAAAACAAAAGAAACAAAGACCTATAGTTAAAAAGAAGACAAATAGTGTCAAGGAAAACAAGAGAAATTCCCATCAAACAAGCACTAAGAGAAAGCAAGCTGAGATTACCTCTTCATCTTCTGATTTAGGAGATGATGATCAGAATTCTGTAGGTGATGGGAGCAGTGATGAGCAGAAAATTAAGCCTGTGACTGAAAATTTAGTGCTATCTTCACACACTGGATTTTGCCAATCTTCAGGTATGCAGGAATAAATAAAAAAATTATAACTTGTGCTTTTTTTTCCCTTTTGAGTAACTATATTCTTTAATTATTTTCCAAAGTCAATAAAATTCAAAGTTATGATTAAATACAATTGAAGTATAGTTTAAATGTTTACCATAAAGTCTAAGAACCTATGGGTTCTTTTCATTATTGGAAGCTACTCAGAAAAATATTATTGTTGTTATATGCCGGGTACCATATTTATTGAGTAATTATTTAGAGTCCAGCTTTCTTTATCGCTTTTCTTTTCTATTACCCAATTTTGTATAGCATGGTTTTATTTAGTTCTAGTGAGGGAGCCCTGGTGGTGTAGTCTGTAGAGAGTTGTGCAGTCTGTAGTGCTAACCTAAAGGCTGTGTCAGTCTGGCAGTTTGGATCCTCCAAAGGAGACAGATGCTAAGTCTCTTCCTATGTCTTTTACAACCTCTGAAATCTCACCTGAGGGTAATCTATAACTCAGTTTTTATTTCACAACATTGAGAGTGAAAGGGTTTTATCGGCGTTTATTGCTTTTCTCCATAATAACTAAGCAGTCATTTAACAATCATGGGAAGTCAGTATAGTACAAGTAGTTCTATAAGTATTTATTCATGGATTTTTGCATTGGACATGATAGCTTTGTTGTCTCATGAAATTTTTGGAAATAATTTAGAACATTGAAACCTTTCCTGATTTTTATTAACTAGTATCTAATGATGTGAACAGGTCTATCTTTTAAAGCAAAACCGAAAACAAACCAGTCAAGCCAAAAGCATAAGAAAGAAAATGCAAGCAGTATATAGATTGCCTCATCCTGTTGAGGTTGAACTCATCTTACCTGATGAGTTTATATGGAAAACAATTGGGACATGCATGCTCTGTTCTTTAATGTTCTGCTCTATCAGATGCCTAGATAAGAGTGAACACTGACTATATTGTATATCTCTTAAAACTCCAGGTTCATATTCCCATGCTTGAAATTCTTGGGGCATATGTGTGTCAGAATTTTTATCTTTTTGATTTTTAGAAAGATACTGTTGTTATGGACAATAAAGTCGGAACTGTTTACATAACTGACTCTCCAGCAGAAAATTTAAGTAAGTGGAGGTTGCTCACATTTCTCCTTTAGAGCAGCTGATGCGTTTGAACTCTCTGTCTGCCTTTGGGTTGGTAGTGTGACTCCTGAACACTAGAGTTCTCTTTTCAGAAAAACTGTTGTGTTTTTAAAAGGTACTGTCAAGTATACTACAAATTCTTAGCAACTTGATGAACAGTGGATCTCAGCCTTGCCCCCTATGTGTGCTATCCTCATCATCCTTGATATACTTGAGCCCATTGTTAGAGTCACTGTGTCAATCCATCTTAATGTCTTTCCAAACATGATGTATTTTTCCAAGAGGCTGGCCAAAGCACTTTGTTCAAGACATATGTGTTTGTTCTTTCAGAAGTACCTGGGATATTAAGTTGTCTTTCCCAGCACATCAGCTCAGCAGGCATTGATTCTTCTGTCATCCTTAGTCATTGTCCTACTATCAGATGCATAGGAAGGAAGTAACTGAATAGACCGTGCCTGAATCAAGTGTACCTTAATCTTGAAGCTCACATCGTTGCTTTTCGCACATTAGAGAGGTTCTTGACAACACATTTTCCTAATGCAAAATGTCTTCCAATTTCTTGACTCCTGGTCCGAAAGTGTTGCTGGTGGATGTAAATAAGAGAAAATCATTGACAGTTTCACCCTTTTCTCCATCTATCATGCTGTTGCTTATTGGTTCAGTGGTGATCTTCTGCAGCAAGAATTTTTAAGTCTTCTCAGTTCACAAGCGTGATAGTGTCATCTGCATAATGCCGGTTATTGATGAGTCTTTGTCCAGTTCTGATACTATAGTCTTCTTCATAAAATCCAGCTACTTGAGTAATTTTCTCAGAATATTAATTGCATAGATACAGAGAAAGGATACAGCCTTGACACATATCTTTCTTGCTCTATTTGGACAAAATCTTCTAGCTCTAGGTTTCATTTAGAAAGATAATATAGCATGAATAGGATCTGTTACAACAATCCCATGATTAAATACTTTATAATTTCTATAATAAATCATGTGAACTTTCACACTTGAGTAATAAAAAAATTGAGATCAGGTTTATAATCTAAACATCTAAAATTTCAGTGCTGTGTGTATATGTGAGAATATTGATTTATATTAAAATACACAGATTTCAGTGCACCCATACTGTATTTAAATTATCAAGTTAGTTTTGATAGATTAATAGACCAAGAATGATAAATCGTGACTGGTTGCTTGGAATACCCCTTTAACAAATACTAGGCTATTTATCTTAAACTGGATTTTATGATTCAACAGTTTCACTAGTGAAGTCAACATGTCTGATTTTCCAAAATAATGTTTGAGACTTGCTGTTACTATTTTTAGATGCCATCGAATGACTTAAGACTCATGCAGCCCTACGTAATACAGAATGAAAAATTGTTTAATCCTGTGCACCTGTATCCTTATTATATGTAAGCCCATTGTAGGAATCACTGTTATCAGTCTATCTCATGAGGATCCTTTTTTTCCCCCCTGCTGACACATTACTTTCTATCAGACATGGTATATTTTTCTGGGTACTAGTTAACACCCTAGCCTTTTATGACCATTTTGGTTGTACTTCTTCCATGACACATTTGTTCTTGCAGGCCAAAATACTCATTATCATTCGCTAGCACCAAACTTAAAATGCAGTTTTACTTAAAATTTTTCAACTTTTGCATGTATATGAGGTATTTGAAAATACTGCAGATTTGGTTAGGCACACCTTAGTCCTCAAATTACATAGTTGTATTTAACATTTTAAGGATATCTTTTTCAGAAAATTTGTGTAATGCAGTTGCTGCTGTTGTTATGTGCCGTTGAGTCGATTGCGACTCATAGCGATGCTGTGTACAACAGCCCTAAACCCTGCTCTATCCTGTGCCAGTTGCACTGCCTCTGACACACCCATCCCGATTACCCCAGTCACCGAATCAATCCACCTCATAGAGGGTCTTCCCCTCTTGCGCCGTCCCTCCCCCCTCCCAAGCATGATGTCCCTCTCCAAGGACCTGTCCCTCCTTACAGCATGTCTAAAGTATGTCAGACGAAGCCCCAGAATCCTTGCCTCCAACGAGCAGCCCGGTTTAACCCTCTCCAGGATGAATCAGTTTCTTTTCTTAGCAGTCCATGGTACATTTAGTACTCTTCTCAAGCTCAAAGGCATCAGTTCTCCTTCTATCCTTCCTAGTCATTGTCCAACTCTCTGATACGTAACAAGTGATTGCAAGGACCATGGCCTGTATCAGACACACCTTAGTCTCCAGAGTGACACCATTGCTCTTCAGTACCCTGGAGAGGTCCCTAACAGCAGAGTTTGCCATTGCAATAACTTTTTCATTTCCTGGCTGTTGGTGCCAAGCTGACTAAAGTTGTTAACAATCTCAGTCTCTTCGCCATCCATCTTGACGCTGCCAATTGCTCCAGTGGTGAGAATCTTTGTCTTCTTGACATTGAGCCTCAATCCGTATTTGAGGCTGTAGTCCTTGACCCTCTGCAGTGAGCGCTTCAGGTCCCTCCTCAGTTTCAGCAAGCAGGGTTGTGTCATCTACATAACGCAGATTGTTGATAGATCTTCCACCAATCCTGAAGCCACACTTCTCCTCATAGAGCCCAGCCTCCTGGATAATCTGTTCTGCATACAGGTTGAAAAGGTATGGAGATAGGCCACATTCCTGGCATACGCCTTTCCCAATTTTGAACCATGCAGTGTTTGCTCTGCTCTGCTCTGTTCTGACGACTGCCTCTTGGTCCAGGTATAGTTTTCACATTAGAACAATCCTATTCTTCTCAGAGTCACCCACAGTTATGATCCACACCGTCAAATGCCTTCGCATAATCAATGAAACACAGATAGACATTCTTCTGGTATTCCCTGCTTTCAGCTAACATCCATCTCACATCAGTTACAATATCCCTAGTATCACAACCCCTTCTAAACCCAACCTGGGCTTCGGGCAGTTCTCTACTGATGTGCTGTTCCAGTCATTTTTGGATAATCTTCAGTAGAATCTTGCTTGTATGTGAAATCAATGATATTGTTCTAAAGTTTCCACACTCTGTTGGGTCACCTTTCTTTGGGATGGGAACAAATAAAGATCTCTTCCAGTCAGTTGGCCAAGTGGTTGTTCTCCAGATTTCTTGGCACAACTTGGTGAGCACGTCCAGGGCAGCATCTGTGAGCTGAAATACATCAATTGGTATACCATGTGTCCCTGGGGCCTTATTATTATACCATCTATTCCTGGGTCGCTAGAAGTCACAAGTGACACAACAGCACATAACAACATCCGTAATTTGTTATAATCCATACGTTTGTATAGTCATTAAATACACAGATAAACATTTTCTACTTTTAGCCTCAGTGCATATGGTATTGGTATAATCTCCTTCAGTCCATGTCCTCTTTTGAATCTGACATGAATTTCTGGTAGCTCCTTGTCCATATACTGCTACATTTATTTTTAAATTCTATTCAGCAAGCATTTACTTTTGTGTGGTGCTAATGACATTATTGAATAATTTCCACATTCTGTCAAATCATCTTTGGAAAGGGCATACTGTGCCTCTCTTTTACTTGCTCAGGTAATGATCTTTCAGATTTCTTGCCTCCTATTTTTGAGTGCTTCTAGTGTTTCTTTTGTTGAAACATCTCAATTGATATTCCATAAATTCTGATGGTTTTGGTTTTGTTTTACTGTGTGTTTCTTTTTAAAAAAACTAATTACTTTTGTGTCACTTGTACGTCTTCCTTTTGTGTTTGATTATATACAACCTCATGAAATGTTTGAACACCTGTTTTTTTGGTACAGTGAATATGTATTCTACCTTCTTTTAAGGTTTCTGGTGGCATTTAGTATTTTCTTAATAGAATTCATCAGTATTGCAGTTCACAGTTTTAAT